AGTATATAGTCTATACATTCTTAAACCGTTGAACTTACGGGAAAATGGCATAGGACCTTATTTATATTTGACAACTATAGTTATAATGGATGAACATCTTTTCGAAATCATGCTTTAGTATATAAAACTCTGCCCCAGCGAAAATTCTCGAGACGCTACGTTCGTTTTATTAGTCAATTTTGTCTCAGCACTGACACAGTTTCTAAGATTTATGTAGAATTTCTCTAGAAATAAATACGCCGCGTTTGTTGCTACGAATATCTGCCACGTAGAGATTTGTTCTCTTTCGCGACAGTTTGGTATGCTGTCGTTTTCAGATAATAACACGATTCATAACAAAGAACGGCGACATTTTCCTATCCTAAATGAACAGTTTAATCATATCCTTAGTTCCCACTATCTAAATTCATGAATTAGAGTGTTATACTTTTTACTACAGCGAGAACGTACGTATATCCGAGGTAGTATAGACTTTTAGTAGCCTGGTACACGTGAACGAAAATCCGTGCCAGGTTCTTGGTGTCACATTCTCGAGCAAGTCGTATGCCTACGCGCGAACACGATTCAGGGTGTGCTTAACAAACCACCTGTCCTTGACACGAATAGCCCACGCACATGATTTAATAACTTGATTATTTTTAATTACAATCAACCGAATTAGACATTGATTGGAGCAACGCTATCGATGAGACATCGAATCTCGAGTTTCTGCTCTCACGAAGAACGTATAACATATGTATGTTTTTATAGGTGCATGATATTTGAAACTTTATTAAAGGAGAGTGAGAATCGGCTCAACGTCAAGGTGAACAGTTATTTCTCGAGTTATCAAAGACGCTGTCGGTGAGACGCTTTTGTAAATCCTATTCGCGAACGCTTTTAGGGTTAAGCGTTTTAACTGGGACGAAATGAAAAGTCTGAGAGGCTCATTCGTTATTCGAGAAGGGAATCCAGGCGTTATAGATGCTTCATCGATTATGCAGTCGTCGTCGTTAGGAATTATTTAGCATTCTCAAGGCCTGGCTGATCTGTCAGTTATTTGCGTGTGAAATAGATTGCCCTCCGAGTGTCGCGTTCGATTACGGCGCCAAGAGGACAGGTGAAGAGTATCGAAAAGAGGAATCCGTGGCCGAGCAAAGAGCGGAGAAAGGTGAAAGGGAAGAAGAAAAAATGAGCGAACGCGGTGGACATGTACGGTACTATAGAGAGGACGTCAGATTAGAAGCCAAGGCTTGACGGGCAGCAATGCCACTGGGACAAAAGCCCGCCCTGAAGGGGCTGGCATACATATTTTTTATTATATAAATTGGCGTTTCAAAGGTTTCCCAAGAATTTATCGCGTTAATGCCTATTACCGTGCACCCTTCTGTACGATAGCCGCAGCTTTTGTTAACGAGCGATGATACGCCAGCTCATCAACTTGCTTTCCTCTCCGATACCGTTATCGTGTCCATGTCTGCCCGAAAGCAAATACAATACTTTCTGCAAAAATTTTTGAGGACTCGATCTGACTAAATTTAAAGCGAGCTCGGTCTATTTCTAAAAGTAATCGACTATCAGAACTGCTCAATGGCATTTAAGATTAATCCTGAGCTCTTCAACAAAATCTCTGAAACTAAATTTGTGATACGTTCTCTCGTGTCCGACAAACTGTAACAGAATGTTCGTTCGTTTTACAAGCGCGATCAATCGCGAACCCTGTCGGGTTTTCTCCAGGTTCGGTTTCCCTTCCAAGGACTCGGTGAGGCATGCCTGGAGTGATATTGCCAGTGACATGCATTGTCCCATTGTGAAACAGAACTACCCCTTTCCTCCATTTAACCGATCCCACCCCTGCCATAAAGCCTCAGCTCCGTCGAGATGTTTTAAATAATATTGAAAACAGAGTTCTGGCGCGATGCCTGCTCGTCCTATATACCGGCCGGAACGCGGTCGTAAAAACTTCGATCATATCAAATCAACCACGAGAACGACAATCCTTGAGCTGTTAATTTCATTTCGATCCAAAGGCACCTAAGAAAAACTGCGTTCAACTTTACGAGGCTGCGAATATACTCGGCAAAGTAGTTATGTATAACTGAGCAAACGGGAAGGACGGAACCAACTTTATTTTATTATTAGGTTCGTTATTCGATCGTCACGTTGCGTTCAAGTAATCGACGTGCCGGGACGGATAGGCTACGGATGGACAATGAACCTACCGATCGGTTATGTAATTTTAATTAACATCTTCGGTTACGGGAATATCGCTCGTTATCGTCTCTTAATCGTTGCGTAAACGGTGTCTACGTGATAAATTGATCGAGGCCAGCGACTATCCATAATTGTAAAGCGAAACGAGCTATCTGCGCCGGTACCTTTTTCAAAAAGTCGAGAACATGGAAATCTATTTTATTGCTAGAACGAGGCGTACGCTGTTTCGGCTTACAATAGCAGATATAGTAGATAAGTGATTAATTGAGCTTACCGTGGGTATCGAATTTTCTGATGATGGTCTCGATGATAGTTGTCCTGGGCGCCACGTGACCTCGTCTAACAGGCATCTCAGGTATGTACCCAGTTAGCTGGGTCCGACGAGACGTTTGGCGTTCGATCGTAGGCTCGTTAAGCCTTATTTAATAATTAACGTGTAACACTACAGCACTTAAAAAAACACTCGCAGCATGCGTACAAGCACGGTAGAAAAAAGCACAGCACGAGTTGAGCATAATGATCGTCGAAGGGTAAGAGACGAGGGAAAACACCAGCTAATATCGTTCCGTTACCATTTCTGAACTCCTTTCTCGGAAAAGGACCGAAGAATAAGACAGGAAAGGAGAGGAGAAGGAGGAGGAGGAGGAGGAGGAGGAGAAGAAAATTCGTTGCTAGTTGGACGACGAGTGCGGTGTTCCTTTTCTTATTCCGCTCTAGTTCCCTTACGTACGTACAAAAGGGGAGTGAGCAGTGAAAAGCGGTCGTCACCACCGAAAATCCGAACGGCGTGATACGTGTGCCTCGAAATGATCGTTCCTTTCTGTACGGGGGGTCTCGTTGTTTCACCGTGGTTTTTGTACAAAATTCGTACAGCCGCGTTGGACAGAGTGTTCGCCCTTCGGGCTGGATGTCTTCGCTCGACTTCCTTTTGGACCCAATGCTCTCTACCTACGATGTCTACGTGTCTCTACCAAGACGGTGTACCGAGTGACTTATGGCTCATCCCTCGCGTTAATCCGGGGGGACAGAAGAAAGGTCGTGCATGTCCACGAGGTTCGGCGACGCGTTTCTTCGCGTTTCAATGTCTGCTCGGCTCAAGACGTACGATTCACGCGAGAAAACATCTATTTATAGTCGATACACCACGCGCCGCACGCCACGGCGTTTTCCGATTCCAGAACCAGGAATCTGGACAACGTCGCGTTGTCGTTGATGATTTACGTTGCTCCGTTTGTGCACCGGTAACTCCGACTTTCCGCTCGTTGCTCGTTTGTTCGCGTTCGTTGCCTCCCTTAGGACAGCCGAGGCTCCACGAGTCGCGAGTACCGGACGTCTTTTAAAAAATCGGCGAGCCGTTCGGTCATTCGTTTCGGCCCGTTCCCGGATGCTCCGTGGAAAATTTGGAGAAGCTTTGACCTCGTCGGCTCGAAGTCAAACTTCTCTGTGTCCGGAGGAGAGCATTGTGCGGACATTTCCACGAGTATTGTTTGAATCGATGATCAGTTTCTAGGAACAACGTTTCCCTGTTAACGTTTGTGCGTCTCCGTCGATCAGCACATGGGAATTCAACGGAATCACGGAACACTGACACCTGTTTCGCGGATCATCGGGTGAAACGAAAGGTACGATGTCATGGCCGGGGATCGAGGCGGATCGTCTACGAGGATTGAAATCGATGCTGGTGACGATGAAGGCAAGGCACGTGGTGTTCCGTGTGCACTGGTGGCGATTCGTACCACTGCGATTCACTGGGATCGTCGATGGTGCATCGTCGTTAGCCGCTCTCCCTTGAGTCGAACGTCCTGCTTCTTCACGGTCAGCAGCCGGTTGTGCATTTCAGCTTCGACTGAGAGTCAGTTATTTTTATACTTGTTCTTCATTCTCCGCGACAATAACCGTACGACGAGCGCCGCGTATTACGACCTTCTGCTCGCTATATTTCTCGAAATACTCATCGATTTTTGTAACCTGTTGGCGGACGGCCACCGACACTGCCCGACGAGACCACCGTGTTTCATCGACTCTTCGCGGCAACAGCTACTCGTTGTTCTTCCCAGCCGACTGGCATCTCTTCTCGACCGTTGACCGACGACGCACAGAAAACTTTGCCACGCTCCAGAGACGCGGCGAACGACGATCCAGATTCTTTGACTACCACGCCTTGCAGGTCCAAGATCCTACCGCCTCTTGCTCCGGTGTTACATCCTGGCCTAGAGCACGTCGGAGGAGGATCGTGGGTCAAACGGTTGAACGATCAATCGGAACCGTGTCACGGGGGTTGTATCGTTGTTGAACACTGTTGCTTTTCCCGCGTGCTACCGCTTGCGGGATCGGTGCGGTCCGCCGGTGGAAAAAATATCGCGCCTTGGAAACGCGCGTGACGAGCACCGAGCAGAGACGCAGTTTACTTCTGGTACGAGTTGCCCGTGGTTTCGTTAGTCGCCGTCGTTCGGTCGGAACTGAAAATACGAAGAGGCACCCACGGACCGACGCGACGTCTCTCTCGGCGACGGCGACGGCGACGACGACGACGAGGACGACGCCGGCGACGACGGTACGTTAAGGGGGGTCGTCTGCGGCGCCTGCGTCGTCGTCGACGTCCCCACCAGCAACACCCGCCACCCGATTACGCCGCCCTATCGCACCCCCTCGCCGTCCAGTGATTATTGATAAGATCCTGCGTCTCTTTCTGCGGCGTATCGTCCTCGTTTCGCTGCGCTGGAATCCGGCCGGATGTGCACTACCGCTTATAAGAATCAGGACCACAGATAAAAAAGAAACAGTGAAAAAGTTACGTGAAATTTAAAAAACAGGGGCGATTATTTTTTCTTTTTCGGTCGCTCAAATGGAGCTAATTATGAAGCATAGCGTTTTAACAAAACAGGAATGCACCACCAAATTAAAGCGCTTCGAAAAAATACCTATTCCTGATGAAACCGTAATGTAATAGTATTTTCGAAGAAATAGTAAGTCACGTGAATTAAAATACCATATATTTTGAGAATTGTTCACTGACATAGTTTGAAAATCAATTTTATATTCTCATATTATTAAAATCTCATTATAAACATAAAGTTTGCGATGGGAGCAATTGTAAATTCTGAAGGAACGAATTAAAAGCAATTATTTGTGTTACTGATTGTTAGAAAATATTGATATTCCGCGCCAACTTTTATGCGGTGAATTACTCGAGCGAGAGATCAGTGCTGGAGCAGCCCTCTACGAGTTGACGCGACGAGTTCGTCGTCAAACCTGTAGGTTGGTTGATAAAATCGTTGTTTTTAATTGTTAAGCACTGGAAAATACTTTAAATACTACCGTTTCATGTCAGGCTATATTTCTTCCTTTATTATTTTATTCTGTTCATGCAACCTCTTCGATTCTGCATTATTTTACGAAATATGTTTATGTGCATTTCATAAAACTTCGATTGGCGGAGGTTTGAGACACATAATATCAGATGAAGATCTGTTCCTATATACGAATCTTGACAAATTGCCATTTACATTGTATTTTGATAATGATTGCGGTTCGACAAAGAACTTTTTGTCACCGATTACATTCGAAAGTGGCGGCTCGACGAAGACATCCGAGGGAGTCGCCAGCTACGTTCGGACGTCCTCGTGGACCGGCGAGTTCGGGGTGTACGGGGTCTACGGGACTTGAAGCACGGAGCCCCGCCCTGCCGCCCGCCAGAGCCGTGAAGCAGCAGCAGCAGCAGCAGCAATAGCAGCTCCGTGCCTGCTTCGTACAGTTTTTATTCATAAAGACAATAGTCTGAACGTCGTGTTGTTCGACCGATCGTAACGTCCCGCGGTATACGCTGTGTCTCTCCCAGTTGTTTTGGTTTGCTCAGTGACGGTTAACCTTAAAAAGTAGTGGCGGTTGCTGTGGGTGTTGCGAGACGTTCTCGTGGTGAGAAACGAGACTTTTCCCGGTCGTTGAGGCGTCGTCGACCAGTGCTGTTCGCTCTGTTTCTCGGTGTAGCTCGAGACAGAGACGTGTGAAAAGGAAAGTGCACAGTCATCGATGTGAGAAGCCGTGGCTAGGAAGAAGGCCCGCCGCAGTAGGAGGGAGAGAGAGTGAGAGAGGAGCTGTTCGTGGATACGAGTGCCCGACACATCGAGCCGGGAATTCAGGCGACCGTAGGCTCCGTTAGGGAGCTCTAGGTAAGATGAGAAGTATTTATCTATGCTAATCATCGCGATTTCCCGTTCCGATCGGGGACGAACGTCGTTGGGATGAGCTGCGTGCAGCTCTCGACTGGATCGGAGCAGTCAATATGGCGACCGCTTAGGATATACTGTCAAATTTTCCTGTTCCGTCATCGCGGTTATTTTAATATCGGCCGCGTTTTACGCGTGTGTTCGGTCTCCTGCCCCTTATATTTCGACACTGTTTGGAATTGCCCGCGACTGTCTGCGTGGAATCGCAGCAATCGTGGGTTATCGACTTTTCGACGCGAGTCAGTTAGACCGGCTCCCGCGGTAATCAGGTTCTTCCTGCTTATAGCAAGCGTCGAGAAACGGCAATTCGCGCAAGACTAACTCGAACAGTGTGTTACGCGATATCCTCCAAAGCGTACAACGCGTCTTTCGCTATTTTTATTTACGCGCCCGGGTTCGCTGCACGTCGACGAAATACTCGGGTGTCCGAAGGACGCTTTGGTGATTCTACTGATTCGCTAAACTTGCACTAATTCGACGAGACAAATGCAAGAAAAGATTAAGAATCGTTACTCATAAAGTTAAGTTAGCTATGATAGAGCCTTTCTTTACGAAACGGTAAGATCAGATTGCTGATGATTCACATCGTTCAATAGCCATTAACTATCGTTCGACCATATACCAAGGGTCAGTATTTTATCATCTGTTAATGTACACCTGCGTCTTGTATTTATTATATAAATGCGCGAGCATACAGGCGTTATTCGTTTGCGAACAGCTCGCAGTTAGTTGTCTCGCTCTAGCCACTGGCAGTAAAACACCAGCGACTATATTTTGCAGCTGTTTGCGAACTGTTTGCGAGCAACGGTTTGAGTACACCGTAAGATGACGTGAAATTTGGTCGTTGGAAAATGCCGTTGTGGACATTTCAAGTAAGTAACTTATACGTGCGTACGAAGTGCAGCCTATTTGAATTACCTCATGACATAATCGCAGTAATAGAAGGAATGCATATTGCATGACGTTCGAAGAAATTGTTTTCACTGTAATAAACTTTGTGAGAACGCAGCGCCAATTTTAAAACAAGAATGGTAAAATTTCTATGACGCGCGACGCGATTTTCTGCGCGTGCACGTGTTCTCGGAAAACCTATTACTATCACGGGTAAGTTATAATTGCAATTACATGCGATTGATCCAAGCCACTTTGTAGCTTCGCCGAATTTCTGAGAATCACGGATACGGCTCATCTATTTATATTACGACTCATTTCCAAACTGATCGATCTCAAACGCGATTCAGAATCGCAACGCCATATTATCTTCGTTCGTTATCGTCGCGTTGCGTTTTTATTTTATCTCGTTCGTCGGAGTTTATGCTATTTACAATGAGTCACGTGAGAGAAAAGCAAGCGAACGGAGCTATAATCGAGCAAACGCATCGAGGCATTCGACAATTGTTGCAAACGACTTAAAACACCTTCTATGCAATATTATTTTAATTAATGTCCCTTTAAACGAAGCTGACTCACTCACTATCTGGCAAGGATAGCGGTTTATCGGTGAAATTAGCACTATCTATTTAACCGTGCAATGTTCGAACCTCTTTAAACAAAGAACAAACTCTAATTATCTGGTTAACGTCTCAAGGGAACAGTTTCAGAACGAAATTGACTTTTCGTCGCGGTATTTTAACTCGTACTCTAGCGAACTATTAAAAAAAGGGTAAAGAGCTGTTAGTCAGAGTAGGCTGAAGCGCGATTGGTCAGGCAATTGCTGCTGCAGCTGTCTTAATCGTCTTTAATTGATTCGAAATATAAAGTCGTCGCGATCTTGGAGGCAAGTGGTATGTCTTCGGCTCAACTGACTGCGTGCCACTTGTAGATGCTGCACCGATAATATCTTTTATCACTACACACACTCGATTCTAAAGAGATCGAGCGTGTTTGATTGTTGACTTATGAATCACAAATCAGATAACGTGCATGTTTGTTTATATTTGCGTACAAATTTAATGACTGCAGAAGGAAATCGATGCCAGCGTTATTAAATACTCATCGATTTTGCGAATTCGATAATCTCTGTACCTTCTGTACGTTCCTTAGGCATAAAAGTTCGTGGTTCGTCGATAACGTGTAGATTCGAGCGTTTAAAAATAATCCTTATCGCGTATGCTCGACCGCCAAAATCCTGGCGAGATAACGCAGCAACACACGTCGGAAAAACGAAATGGTTGCGTACGCAAGTAAGTACGTCTTTTTCTCCTCCGCTGGCTATCATGTTTCGCTGGACGGTTAGTAGGTCGCCAACAATGCGAAAGTAATGCCCATGACGTACACGTACACCACTACCGAAACCCCTGTCCTCTTCCTTCCTGGCACCCTCTAACCCCTCCTCTTTATCACGGGGTCACGTCCTGCTATACGTTCCCCTCGGTCTCTGTGGATTGTCCCTTGGTTTACTTGTTCCGCGGACGAGCAAGTGAAAAACAAGTCAGACGGTGACAAAAATTACGGATTAGAGAATTGATTCAGGCGTAATAGTGGACAAGCGAGCGTGTCTAGATTTATAAGAGTTCAATCTCCTTTGAACTGGTCTACGAGCCATCTCGATTCTCAGATAATCCAAACATCGAGCTGCCCGTTTCGCTTCCTTCTTCTCCTGACGTCACCGCGATTCGTAAAAATAGCGAAACGATCTATTCGTGGCTTAATTTCTTAACGTGTATTTACATGCCCGCGATATCGTTTATATAGCCGAGAACTCAATCGTTCATATTCAAGAGAAACAAATACGTGCCCTTCTCTGTGTAATTCGATTAACTCAGGAAGAAATTAAAACCCGTTCCGGCGCGAGATCGCTTCGTCCGCCAGTCTAGAACTACGGGTCAGAGACAAGAAATCCACGCAGCAGAAATCCCATATTCAGGTTACTTTTTGACGTCACGGTACGCTTTCTGACGTCATTCACCGGCTCTTCGCAATGTATTTTTCATCCTGCTCTATCTCGTTCGAGTCTCGTCATCCCTTCACGGCATTCATCTCGCTCTTTGCTCCGCCGTTCTAACATCTAATATCTAACTGCTCTACAATCCTAGCGCAGAGCTGGCAGATGGCTGGGAGAACAATTTAGCACGTCTCGGCGCTCGTAAGACGACTTTTTTTTCTAGTCGCGACCTTTTTAATTAGTTGACTCGGCCTTTCTGTAGACGTACACGTATATATAGTCTTGGGACAATGTTTTCCTTGAGAGAAGGCATCGATCGAACCCGTGTAACCCCTCCACCGAGTTTCCCTTCGTCGCGTTGTTGGGCAGGGTATCTCGGGGAAGAACGATTGCCGGTTACAAAGGTAATTTCTTTTATTAAAGTCAATTCTTGCATCTTTGTACTCCTTTACAACGTAGTCGACTTATTTGGTTCACCGAGCTGGGAAAGAACACGTGCGCATCGGTGATTAACGACCTGACTCTAGTTAAGCGACCGTTAACGACAAGATCGTTCGTACGTCTCCATCAGTTGGTTTTTTCCATATTCGAACAGCCGCGGAGACAGCGTTTTCTCTATAGGTGGAACTCATCGATGCATGCTGTTTAACAGAGGTGCATTAAATGCCGGTTCTCTCTAGTCACCGGTCGAACGTTTTCGGTGGGCACGTTCACGATCACAGACTGGTGGTCTGTTCGGAGCTTTTAAAAGAAAGGGGAATCGGTACAAAACGAACAAGTACTCCTCTTTGCGATGCAGTTCGCAGATTGATTGATAGATCGATCGGTTTACGTCACAGGCTATTTTAAGTGAACGTGTGCTTTATGCACGTACTATTCTGAGAAACTGTGCCAAAAGTTGAAGAGTCGCGGTGAAGAGAGCTCTCTTACACCTCGTTTGACATGAGTCACCGTTCGAAACGTCGCGTAATTCGAGCGTAAAAGTTGATAATGGCTGCTCGTCGGCGACCCGGACGAATCCGCCGTCTCCGTTTTTCCAATCCCATTGAAATTGATAAGAAGTTCATTAGCACGGCTAAAAGCTAGTCACTCACACGCCCGATGCAAGCTGATCCACCTCGACTCTCGAAAAGTAGGTCGCGCTGATGTGAATTACAGTCATCAGCTGCGCGTATGTAATACGTACGATTATAATTCCATAGACAGAGAGCAGGTTCCACGGTAACGATATCTTTCTACCTGAGAATGGTTTATAATTAATATCCTTTGCACCTGTTTCGCTGTTCCTTGCGTGGAACTATCTCTTTCTGAATTATGCAACGGATCGTCTTTCTTCGAACAATCGTACACTTTCTTCCGTCGAGAGGAAACTCGGCTCGTATTCCGTGAAAGCGTTGCGTCTTTTGGAATAGAAAAAGGGTACAACAAGTGGCAACGAAATAAGCCAAATATTTTCGTCGCACGTGCGATTCGCCGGGTAGGAACGACTCGGTGATGGATAAGTAAACACAGGTTCGTGCTGGAAAAGGCGGTAGGTCTGTGCGAGCACGTTGCAACTGGTCAGGGGATTGTTGGCAGGTGCAACTCAAACCGTTGACACACGTTGTTCGGAGCTAGACCGTTCGGTGGTTCTTCTTTTCTCTTCGTTGTAAAGAGCGTGTACATACAGGGACGTGCCAGAGACTTGGTCCAAGTACATACACGCTCAATGTGAGGTACTTGGCAGCCTCGCGGTTTTACACAGCCGGGTTGAAGCAGATGGGGAGAGAAAGTGCAAGAGAGAGATCGTATTGGACGTTGACCCGCGTGTTTCAACTGTTGCTCCCGTTCGTGCATCCGGGAGTGCGGGTGGCGAAGCTCACTGACGGAAGAAATAGGTTTTTCAATCTCTTCTTCCAGCTTTTCTTTAATGATTCTTTGATGTAAGAGCAGCGCACGTTTGGATCTCTGTTCTCCGTGGGTTCCTATTGTAGCATGAGTTATTTAGTCGTCTTGACGTACCGCTTATAACAATGGTCGACGCAGTGCTATCAGTCTCTCGTAGATTAATAGAATTTGGTAGTAGTTGACACCCTGTAGCAGAATGACACTCAGCATTTTATAGCAGATACTACATCCAATTATCTGGTTCCGAAAGTTCATTCAATAAAATTCTTAAATATTACTAATGTGAATGAATATTCAATGAAAAATCTTTAACGCAACGGAGTCTTTGTGCCCTCGATGAATTTTGTTCTTACCGATAAGAATCGTATCAAAGCGCATGGGTGACCGCGTCCCTCGTCCATCCTCCAGTTTGGCTGCGAAAGGGTTAACGCTATCTGAGACCACGCCACCGCCGACGGCAACCTGTCACAGGCCCGACAATGACGTCATCGCGACGCCGGTAGCCAGCCGGTACACAGGCGCCGCGGCGCCAGCGTCGCTTATCCCTCCCCTCAGTACATTTCATCCGCCCAAGCGATCAACTCTCGAAACCACGTCCACCCTGGGTGTGGTTCGGACACGGGTGTTCTAGGTTTACCGTCCCTTGTGTTCTCCTCGAGCCATCGGTCGCTCGGCCGTTTCGTTCACGCGAAAAAGTGCACCGGACCCGCGCGCGCGCGCGCGTGTGTGTGTGTGTGTGTGTGCGTGCATTCTTGCGCGACGAAGAGAGAAGGGCTCGCCCCGTGAGGGTGAAAGCGTACGAGAGGGAGAGATAGGTAGAAAGAGGGACCAGTGGGGCGAGCCACCGACTGTTGATCGATTCGCCGCTTCCACGGTTCTGTTGAACGCGGCATGAAAAGAGAATCCGCACCAATGGGCGCGTCTCACCGGCTCCCGTACGTGTCCGGTTCCTGCTAGATTGGAAAAAGCTTCCTTTCCGGTTGTCCCTCGGCTCGCCGCCTTCTCTTTGCCGGTTGTCCCATCAACGACGCAATCTGGCGGAAAACCACGGGCTCGGAGAGGCCACTCTTTGCCCTCTGCACGAACCCCGCTCGCAGAGAGGCTATGTCTCTTCAGGATTCATGACGCTCTGACAAGAGTGGAAGCCGGACGGAGCGGGTAAGTGGCAGAGCTTGTGCGTTTTCCCTACCGGTGTACTCGCGATTCTGGAGTTTTTCGAGGGCCAGGGGCTGTGCAGGGCTCTCGCGTGCTCCTTAACGCTTTCGCACTTTGGTAAAAATTATGATTCAACGTTGGAAACTGTTTAAGGATGCTCTTGAACGTAAAGAAGCATTTTCTCTCCAAATAATCGTAATGAAAGTGATCGGTACCAGATTTTAAATTCTTAATTCACTTATCAAGGGCTAGAACATGTTCTCGGAATCCGAGCAACTTGTTTCATGAGGGTGACTATCGTAGAAGTAAGGTAGTGGACATTAATAAAAATTGATCGGGAAATTGAATTGTTGAGAAACCATTGAAGCCATCCCTTTTGTGAAGTCGATTGAAATTGAAAAATTAATGTACCGATCGAATTATCCACTTGTTAGAATATAATTTCGACAGTGTCGATCCGCATCGCTGGAACTACGATGATTTATGATGAACTACAGCGTTCGATCATGTGTAATATAAACGTGTTGAATAAAGCAGGATTGGAAATAATAATCTTTGTAATTAATCTGTTTTCAGGGGTGGCAACGGTCTCGTTAGGAGGTATCGAAGCTGGCGCGCGGGCTAGGGGCGGGAGAGTCAGCGGTGGTCTGGCTCTGGTTCCGGTGGTAGCGACGGAAACGGAAGCCGCGACAGCAACAGATCAGAAAGGGTTGAGAGGGGCTGTTGGAACTCGTTGGAAGAGAAGATTCGATCGTCTTCTCGTTCTTCTTTCTGCCCTTTCCGTTCCCGGTGGTGAAGAGCTCCTGGACATCTATCGATCACCGGAAGAGGCGTCGACGGCGTGACACGCGGCCCTAAACCACCTTCGAGAGAGAAGGCATCCGAGATAGTCATTCCCGTGAAATCGTATTCTAGGCTTCGTCGGAGGTATACCGCCCCGTCTCTTTGGAAACCATCCTTTTCTACCCTTCGCGGGGTATTCTCTCGTTTAGAGCTACCATTAGATACGTTTAGACATCATGAGTGAGCTCGAATCCCTTCGTCAGGAGGCGGACACGCTGAAGAATGCTATTCGAGTAAGTCTTCCTTGATTTCTATTCGTTAAATTCCTTTATAATTTTTATATATAGTAATAAGAGGTTCATGATACGGATACTGTATACTTGCCTGCGCGGAACTTGATATCGCAACAGTTTGCCGTCGATGATTTATCTGGAAACAAATAAGTTATTTTTGCGATAATAATGGGCGGTGGCTCTCGGTCAATTTTTTATATTTGGCATTTCGTGTAAGATTCGATTTCGACTTGTTTACTACCGGTAATCCCGTTAGGCTGTATTTATTAGATAGGGGTGGCTCCCGGTTGGAATTCGTATAGCACCTTTTCACACATCTTCTATGTTTCCTGGCAATCTCTAAAGCACCGAGGACAAAGCAACAGTTCTACATGCAACAGCGTATTGTTTTTACCAGAAAAGAAGTCTAGGGCGTCTCTCGGCACGAAGTGCTCTTGGCATTAAACAACCGACCCCTATTCTCCCTGTAACGAGTCAGCGATTTTTTTTCTTTTCTTCTTTTTCTTTTTGAACATCCGACCCCAGAGGATTAAATCAAATTCACGAGTAGTTACTTATTTTTAATATTAGTTCGTTTATATCGCGTCGAATGTAATTTCGTTGCCTAATGAAATTCTCCCGAAATTCTGCGATTTTCTAATCATTTGTTTCATCGCTATCCTTATTATCGAGTAAGGACGATGATCAAGTTGGAGTGCGAACTCGCCGCAAATTAAAAGTTCTTGGCGTTGAAATATCCTTATCGATGTGGCAATCGGTAGGTTCTTCACTCGTATGGCGGTAGAAACGTGGAACAGAGGTGGTAGTGGTGTTGTGTGTGGTGATGGTAGGGCGCGGCATAACCGTCGCTTCTCTCTGATCAATACGACACCGTTCCTTCTCTCTCTCACTGTCTTTTCCCGTTCCTCTGTCACTTTGTCTCTTTCCCTCTTATCCTCTCCTCCTACGTGTATGCGTGTGTGTATTTCTCTTTTACTCGGTTACTCGTTTTCTGTCTCGCTCGTTCGCATCACCTGTTTCTTTCGTCCTCCCTCGCGTACGGGAAATTACACACATCGAGAGGCGTACGTTGTCAGGTGTGCGATACGCGGTTGTAATAAATAGAATGAACTTTTTTCAAATGCCCCATTGATAGCACTCAAACGATTTATACACGTCGCGTGGGTCTGTTCTGTTTATCTTCGCACGTAGTTCGGCGTAGGTATTATAGAGATAGGCGAATTGCAATTAAGATCGTTTAAGCGAGGTGTTACGGAACACAGTTTCTTGAAGACTCTGTATCGAATTTTTTGTTTTCTTTTTGCCCCGTTCAGGATGCCAGGAAACTCGCATGCGACACAACGCTGCTCGAGGCCACGGCGGGCATGGAGCCCATCGGCCGGATACAAATGCGCACGAGGCGTACGCTTCGCGGTCACTTAGCCAAGATTTACGCGATGCATTGGGGCAGTGACTCAAGGTATCGTCTTAGGACAGAGACGACTGAGCGAATTCTCGAGTCCGAGTGGATTTCTCAATCGTTCTTTCCGTTTGATCGATAGAAACTTGGTGTCGGCGTCGCAAGACGGAAAATTGATCGTCTGGGATAGTTATACCACTAATAAAATACACGCAATCCCCTTGCGTTCGTCGTGGGTCATGACTTGTGCATACGCGCCATCAGGTAGTTACGTGGCCTGTGGTGGCCTGGATAACATTTGCTCCATCTATAGTCTTAAAACTAGGGAAGGAAACGTAAGGGTCAGCAGAGAACTCCCGGGTCATACTGGCTACTTGTCCTGCTGTCGATTCTACGACGATAACCAAATCGTCACTAGTTCCGGAGATATGACTTGGTGAGCAATCTATTATTGATCAATTTTTTTATTTTTACCTTGATATCCATTGAAAATTCTAAATTGTTCCTATGCTACATCGTCCAAGCTCCATTTCAATTGAGCAATACCGATTTTATTTAGGGAGATGTCCTACGAATGAAACCTCAGAAGCCATTGTGAACTGTTTCAATAAAGCGCATCCTATCTTTCCGCCATCCTTACCCCCGAGTTTTTGGTTTTTTCCCCGACTTGGTGATCGTATACATATGTTTACAAGAGCTGTGTCGTGTTTCTTTTCTCAATCAGTGCCCTATGGGACATAGAGACTGGTCAACAGTGCACCTCATTTATTGGTCACACGGGCGACGTTATGTCCTTGTCTTTGGCACCGGACACGCGTACCTTCGTTTCTGGTGCGTGTGACGCCAGTGCGAAGTTATGGGATATTCGCGAAGGAACTTGCAAACAAACGTTCCCTGGACACGAGAGCGACATAAACGCTGTTACGGTAGGAACAGATTTTTTTTAAATATTAATCTTGCCGATTGTGCGTGATTTGGACCGGAGTGTCAGAAATGTTGGATGAATGCGCTGGAAGATGCTGTTCAAGAGAGTTGGGATGATACATCTAATGGGTGAACGGAGTTCGTGAATTGTACAACGTAATCTGTATTGTTACAGTTCTTCCCGAATGGATACGCTTTCGCGACGGGTTCAGACGACGCAACGTGCAGACTTTTCGATATAAGGGCGGATCAAGAACTGGCTATGTACAGTCACGACAATATTATCTGCGGTATCACCAGCGTAGCGTTCAGCAAGAGCGGTAGATTATTGCTAGCCGGCTACGACGATTTTAACTGCAACGTCTGGGATTCCATGAAGGCGGAGAGAGCCGGTAGGTGTCTTTCACGAACTCGGAGATTTGATTCGAGAGAAGAGAAAACCTGATTTCAAGCCCTTCTCTCTGCATCTTTTCTCGTTCACGTCTTGCTTTCTTTTACCGTTTTTTCGCACGTTGTTTTTATTATTCTACCGTTTGGACGAGATACTTTAGACAGAACATAGAGTATTTTCTTAGTCATATGCATAGATGATCTCGAGGAGGAGGAGACGCGGATTGTTTCGAGATGTTTTACTTTTGTTTTACAGGAATTCTAGCCGGCCACGATAACCGCGTGTCTTGCCTTGGCGTTACGGAGGATGGTATGGCAGTAGGTACGGGCTCCTGGGACTCGTTCCTACGTATTTGGAACTAACTTGGGGCTCATTCCAAGACGTTCCTCCAAAGAACCAACTGCAGCAAATCAGCGTACAGTATAAGCATCAAATACCACCACCTGGCCACCGAAGTCGGCGTCGGCGTGTCCGTGTCCTCGGCGGAGGCGAACTACTCGACGGGTTCGCCGGAGTTGACGTTAATCCGAAAGTTTGGGGATCAGCTAAACAGCAGCAATAGCATGAACAAGATCGGTAGAAAGACCTACGGAAGCAGCTCCGAATTTAAAAACGTTTTGGGCTGTGGTGGTAAAAAGGACTACCGGAGGCGCGTCGTCGATTTAACTTGGCGGCGTGGCAAGGTCAGCGATAAAATCACTCGTGAATATCACCGCTTCTAGTATATGACGAGCCTGTCTCGGTTACACACTCGAGCACACGAATATCGATATAACGATTCGATCGAGAAAGAAGCGTGACAGAAAGGAAGACAGCGGAACGGAGAGGAGTACCAAGGCTCTGTCACGGCCATATCTCTCCCGGTGTCTTGCGTACACTTCCTTTTTCTCCTCCCCTTTCTCAAGGATCACTTGGCGAGCCTTCCTATACATCTCGATGGCTTCACTTCGAAGATCTTCCCGAATCTCGAAGGTTAAAAATATCGGCCCGGAAAAATCGATGACCGACACCCCCTCGTCGAATATATAGACGTCGTTGGAAACGGTTTATTATGAGGAAGAGAAATAAAAGAAACATACGGTTTTGAGCGTTCACTGCCGATGAAGCGCCGATATGGTTGCTCCGGCGGTTGATTTTACATTTCGTTTTTCGACACGCACGAAGCAACGTCGTACCAGACACGAACACAGGCGTGAAGAAAAAAAACTACCATCGCTCGTTCACGGCACAAAACTATGCTCATAAAGAAACTACATATGCATATAATATATACGTATGTCGATGAGCAGCCAAGGTTAAGATAATCTCGCATAATTGCATTCAAACCTACGCACACACCATACGCACGTGTATTGGATACGTACATAGGAAACTACATAACATATATTTGCACAGAAAAAAACGTTAACCCAAGAGGCATCCGTCATTAATTGATGGGTCACCCACGAGTCCCGATTACAAGTCATTGATCATATTTTTACCTCTCCTTCTCGTTTTTGTCTTGTTCATTTTCAATTCCGATTTTTTGTCGTGAAACTCTCACCCTGAACCACGATGTTAGCTAAGGAAAGTGGGATAAGATCGCATCGTTTCTCGTAACTCTAATCGCCGAGTTTGCATTAATATTCTGTAACTTTTATAGATTTATCCTTATTTATTTTGTATAAACTTCTACATATATACGTATAGGTCACCTTACTGTGTACGATTTTCGTTTTTCGTATTTCTTTTTTTTTGTTTCTTAAAAAGTTGAGTGAATGTTCGAGTTTACGGAGATTGTTAGAGAGTGAGCAAGTACAGATGTGCAAGAATGTGCGAAAGATCTCGAAGTCGCGGCCCGATGCCAATCAAAATAAAAATCCACGTGAGATAATTAAAAACGGAGAATACGATACTCCCAAGTTGTTCCTTCAGCTCACTTTCCATCGAAATTCGGATCGTCACGTATGAAAGGACGTCGTTGAAGCAGAGAAAGCAAACGGATGACGACTCGATGACGAGACGAGCAAAAGATTTAAAAGAAAAAGAAAAGATACATACACATACATGGAGATATCTGAAAAACCAACACACGTATGTACTTTGCCTCGCCGCGAGTTTAACGCACGCACGCGAGGGACCAGCGTAAAGTACGAAAAAAGAAAAGGAAATATTTAAATGTAACGTGTAATCGTTTAGTTTATAGCCTCTACTCCTCCTGTTCCTCTAGTTAAAAAATAGCGAGACCGAGAAGAGTTCCTCCCAACTCGCGCCAAAGCAGAGTCATCCCTTTTCTCCATTTTACGTCGGTTCAGCACCGAGGATACCTCGAAGCAGGAATCCACGAGGAGGGCACGTGTTCTCGACGAATCAGTCGTCCTAGAAGTTCCTTTGAAATAGGACCCAAAGAATCGCAAATACGGACCGCGAGACTAAACTCTCTTCTCTCTGAACCTCGTCGTTCTTTCTTCTCTCCCCTTCGATTTTTTCCTTTACGAAAAACGAGCTTTATCATTTTCATCATCTTCTTTGTACGATCGTGTTTTCTCATCGTTATTCTCCCCCTCCTATCTTTTTACTCATCGTCTCTCGTATTCCCTTCCCTCCTTCTCATCTAGCCCCTCTCCTCTTTTTTGTCTAAGAAAACATAGATGTTTAAACTGTGTATGCATTTAAAATAATAATATTGATGATAATGTTTAATATTAATATTAATGATGATTGTAATTTATAATTATTAATATTTAATATATAAGTATCTAAGAAGATAACGGTTGATCCACTTGTTCAGTACCACCGGCGACCACGCTGCTAGAACTTCTTTCCTTTAATCAATTATTTTCGTTAATCTTCACCGTTATATTTCGTTGCATTCTCGCTTGCATTTAAACGTATTCGCAATGAGGACATAAATCGTTTCCGATGCAACAGACTTCCGATAATTCGCACTACATCGGATTATTGGTTTCGTGCCATCATCAAAACGTGGTTACCGGAACTCGGACGTCATAACTTTTTTCGAAGTTGTTGAATTAAGAACGTCTCGAGGAAAAATCGAAAAAGTCTTCGAGATATTTCTCACACTTTGTTTTTATATAATTTTTTTCGATTTTGCTCATATCACTCCCATTGTAGAATGAAAGAAAATAGTTTTATACTTCAGCAAAATTTAGTATCAAGGGAAGGAAGAAGTGTACAGGAAATTTGTACGTTTTCTAGTTCTGTTTCAAAGCCTATACGATTCGTTACTCCTACAAAGAAGTTAACTGTAACTAGCATGCAAAATTACGATTATCAAGCCTCTAGTCATAACGGTACGCGCAAAACGGAATCGCTTCAAAGTAAATGGAGAACAAGCCTGTGTGAATACTTTCCTTCTTATTAGTTTCAGTTTCTTTTCGTTCGTTTCTTCCCACGGTTAAGAATGCGACAGCTGATTTCAAATCGTCTGATTATCAGAATATATAGGGGAGCCGCGATAAAGTATCTAATCGATTGTGACACAACGCGCAACAACGGCGAGAAAGTAAGAGGAATGATTCTTTTTCTGAGTATAAGATAAAACAATAAAAGTACTTGGAACAATGAAATGTCGCTTTAGTTATTTTTTTACCGCTCGTTGTTTTTTTTGTTCCTTTAATCGTTTTATCGCGATCGTCGTTCGGTCGTTCGATCGATGAGGGATGATCGGTGTCCTTTGGGTCCTATTTCAACGCGGACACGTACCCGATTAACTTGGTGGTAACTCGAGGGGAAGAGGAACGGAAGAATTTAAAGGCATGCCGATGTTACAAATTCCGCAAGATCTGAGCCCTCCTGCGATTAACAACAACAAGCCACTAGGAATACTGCCTCTTCCAAGTCGTGGAACAGTAAGAAGTATACATAGATATATAAATATGGTGCGTCTATTATATACGAAAGAACAATTGAACAAACTCGTGCGTCGTTGTTGAATGAACGAAACGTCAGGACGCAGCCGAGAGGGAAAGAGAGAAACTGGAAGAACATGAAGAAAGAACTGGTCGACGTCGGCAGGAAATGTACATTCACCTTCGTTGTTAAATGATAAATAGTTACAAAAGTTTAATCACTTTTTTATATATAAAAGTATATATATATTATATATATATCGCATATATATATGCACACATATATACATATATATATATATATAT